CCCCCCACTGTCACTAATCACCCTCCCCACCCACTGTCACTAATCACCCTCACCCCCGTCACTAATCACCCTCCCCCCACTGTCACTAACCACCCTCCCCCCAACGGTCACTAGTGACTGGTGACAGAGTGAGGGAAGGGGTGACTAGTGGCAGAGTGAGGGAAGGAAGGGGTGACTGGTGACAAAGGGAGGGGATGACTGGTGACCGAGTGAGGGAGGGGGTGACTAGTAACAGAGTAAGGGACGGAGGGGGTGACTAGTGACAGAAGGAGGGAGGGAGTAGTGACAGAGGGAGGTGGTGACTAGTGACAGAGTGAGGGAGGTGGTGACTAGTGACAGTCACCACCTCCCTCACTCTGCCACTAATCACCCCTTCCCTCACTCTTTCACTAGTCACCCCCTCACTCTAGTGACAGAGTGAGGGAGGGGGTGACTAGTGACAGAGTGAGGGAGGGAAGTGGTGACTAGTGACAGAGTGAGGAAGGGGGTGACTAGTGACAGAGGGAGGGGTGACTAGGGACAGAGTGACAGTCACAACCTCCCTCTCTCTGTCACTAGTCACCACCTCCCTCACTCTGTCACCAGTCATCCCCTCTAGTGACAGAGTGAGGGAGGGGGTGACTAGTGACAGAGGGAGGGTGTGACTAGTGACAGAGAGAGGGAGGGGGTGACTAGTGACAGAGTGAGGGAGGGAAGGGGTGACTAGTGACAGAGTGAGGGAGGGAAGAGGTGACTAGTGACAGAGTGAGGGAGGTGGTGATTAGTGACAGAGGGAGGGATGGGGTGACTAGTGACAGTCACCCCCTCCCTCACTCTGTCACTAGTCACTACCCTCTGTCACTAGTCATCCCCTCACTCTGTCACCAGTCATCCCCTCACTCTGTCACTAGTCACCTCTTTCCTCCCTCACTCTGCCACTAGTCATCCATTCCCTAACTCTGTCACTAGTCACCCCCTCTCTATCCCTCTGTCACTAGTCACCCACTCCCTCACTCTGTCACTAATCACCCCCCCACTGTCACTAATCACCCCCCCCACTGTCACTAGTCACCCCCCAACTGTGTCAC